AGAGGACGTGTCCTTTGAGGTGGATCCCAGGGGGGGAGATTCCCAGGGGTGGGAATTCTGGTGTCACCTGTCCCCATCCCGCAGGACGTGTCCTTTGAAGCTCGTTCCGGGGAGGTGACCGCGCTGGCAGGGCCCAACGGGAGTGGGAAGAGCACAGCTGTGGCACTGCTGAAGCGGCTGCGGCATCCCAGGAAAGGGGAGGTGCTGCTGGATGGGATCCCACTGCAGGAATACGAGAACCAGTACCTGCACCGGCAGGTGGGGACAGCAGGGACACTGGGAATGGACTGGGGATGGAATGGGGACACCAAGGTGGGATGTGAACAGCAGGGATGGAGACAGTGGATACCCCAAGGACAGGGATGAGAACACTAAAGTGAAATTGGAATCTGGGAACCAGGGCTGAGGATACCACCAGCAGGGATGGGGACACTGGGAAGAGGGATGGGAACATCAGGAACAAGGATGGGGACACCAGGCATAGGAATGAGGACACTGGGAAAGAGGATGGGGACGGGGACAGCAGGAAATGGGATGGGGACATTGGGTCAGGGATGGAGACACTGGGATTAGGGATGAGGCCACTGGGGTGGGATGGGGCCATGGAGCAGGGATGGAGACACTGGGAGCTGGGACAGTATCACAGGACTCGGGGCTGGGGCAGGTGGTGCTGGTGGAGCAGGATCCTGTCCTGTTTTCCGGAACGATCCGTGAGAACATCGCACTGGGGCTGGAGAACTGCAAGGAGTCAGAGCTGCACGAGGCTGCCAGAGCCGCTGGAGCCATGGAATTCATCCAGGGGCTGGAGCAGGACTGGCACACTGGTGAGAGCCAGGGGGATCCTGGGGGAATCCTGAGCCCATGGACTTCATCCTGGGGCTAGACTGGGGTGGGACACTGGGGAGAGCCAGGGGGATCCAGGGGGAATCCTGAGCCCATGGACTTCATCCCGGGGCTAGACTGGGGTGGGGTGGGACGGAGAGCCAGGGGGATCCAGGGGGAATCCTGAACCCATGGACTTCATCCTGGGGCTAGGCTGGGACTGGGACACTGG